CTATCTATCTATCTATCTATCTATCTATCTATCTATCTATCTATCTACCTACCTACCTACCTACCTACCTACCTACCTACCTATCTATCTATCGCTATTCTCCATCCATCCATCCACCTATCTATCGCTATTCTCCATCCATCCATCATCTAATTATCTATATTTATCTATCCATCCATCCATCATCTTATCTATTATCTATCTATATTTATCTATCCATCCATCATCTATCTTATCTATTGTCTATATTTATCTATCCATCCATCCATTGCTATTCTTCATCCATCATCTTATTTATTATCTATACTTATCCATCCATTGCTATTCTTCATCCATCATCTATCTTATCTATTATCTATCTATATTTATCTATCCATCCATCCATTGCTATTCTTCATCCATCCAGCATCTATCTTATCTATTATCTATCTATATTTATCCATCCATCCATTGCTATTCTTCATCCATCATCTATCTTTATTATCTATATTTATCTATCCATCCTTCCATCTATCATCTAGTATCTATATTTATCCATCAATCCATCCATCGCTATTCTCCATCCATCCATCTTATTATCTATCTATATCTATCCATCATCTATCCATCATTATTCTCTATCCATCATCTATTTTATCTATATTTATCCATCCATCCATCATCTATCACCCACCTACCTACCTACCTACCTACCTGAATAGAGTAGGAAGGGACCGTTGTTAAGAGAATCCTTTGTCGCATGGGAGGGTTAGGTGGAATCCGGCTTCCGTCCCTTGAGTTTGCTTGTCGGAAGGTTGCAAAAAGAGGAATCATGTGACACCCCCACAGCCCCACCGGGACTCAACCCCCCGTCGTACGGAGGAACCAGTTGCAAAGTTCCAATTTGGATCACGTCCCCGTGGGGATATACTGCAAGGGCTATGAACGGTGGGCGGAAAAACCCCCCGATCCTAAGGCACATTTTCAGTGCCGTCATAATTCAGAACGGTGACTCAACAAAGTCGAGAACTCCCTGCATTTATGAGGAAAATTTGTATCGCTCGCTCAAGGCAACTCGCAGAAAATTAACAATGCAATGTGAAAGAAATAAAAATAAAAAATAACACAAACACACACACCCTTGGCGATAATACACACCCTCAAACCAGCCATTTCACACTGGATTCCCCAGGCCCGCTGGCAAAACCACATCTTTGGGGTGTGGGAGCCGGTCTAATTTCTGGAGGGATATTATTCCAGAGGGAGGGAGCTACTACGGAGAAGGCCCTTCTTCTGGGTCCTGCTAGATTACCTCCTTTGGAAATGGGACCCGCAACGTTCCTTGCCTCCTCCCGGCTCTAATGGGTTGGGTTGATGTAACTGGCAAAATTCAGGGAATAGCGGCTGCTTGGATGCTACTGGCTGCTGCTGGCATTTATGTCGACCTTGGTTTTCAACTGCTCTGTGACAATTTCCCAGGCAGTCTTGCAATCCCTTGCCTTGCTGCCTGGGAAAGGGGAAGGTAGGAAATGTAAGCAGGGAAGGGAGGTGGATTTCTGATGCTCCCTGCCAGTTTCTCCACGAGAAAACCCAATGGGGAAGCTGGCAGGAATTTTGGAATTCTGTAATCTGGTCCTTGCTCTCCTTGGAATCCTTGCCACCAGATCCCTGGATCTGGTGCTCACCGGCTCTCCCTCCATGTGTAATGCTGCCCTTCTGAGTAAGCTCTGCCTTCCAGCCTTGTAATCCCACGTGCAAGTTGCGTTCTCATTGTGCCCGTGATTTCCCTTCCTGCAGCCAGCCAATCCACAGGGCTGGTGGCCCTCGGTCCCTCGAAGCTGCTGTAGCCTCTGGCCATGCGAAGAGTGGATTTTGGTTCTATCACTAGCAAGGGGGGCAAGCTCAAGACCGGCAGGCAAGTGCGCCGATTCTGAAAAAAATTAGCCACAAACGGAGGCAAAACGGTATTCAAAACATAATCAAATACATTATACAATTTTATTTAGGAACAAGAATGTATATTTTTTAATCCAGAAAAGAAAGAAAAACAACCTGTTGCCCTTATTTAAAATGATTCAAAAATGTTCCAGGAAATTCTGGAAACATTCTTGGTTCTCTTCCGAGATCCGGGAATATTTTAACGCTTTTTCCTCTTGAGTGCTTTCCAATCTCCTTCCTGCTGAGCGAGGCTTTGGAAGAGTTGCTTCACTTTTCTTTTTCTTTCAGAATCCCTGAAAAATATATAAATATATAATAAATACAGTATATAATAAATAATAAATTATATATATCAAACTGCAATCAAACTGCAAGTGAATCATTTTATATTTCCCTATATGAGAATGTAGCACACACATGCACTGTGTTATTTTTTTAGCATCTTATGACTGTCACTTTGTGGTTTGTATCTTATGATTTATGGTGATTATATTATGATCATGATTTATCAGTTTGTTGCTTTTATACACACTGAGAACGTATGCACTGGAGACAAATTCCTTCTGTGAGTTCAATCACACTTGGCCAACAAAGAATTATGTCCTGTCCTGTTTCTATCCTATCCCTATATTCTGTTCTATTCTATGCTAACTGGATACCTGGTGCTTTGCTACAAAACTATGTGGTCGGGCTTAGTTTTGGGGGAGGAAAATAAGGGGGGGAAAATTCTGCCTCTGCCTGCCAGCATCCACCGGTAGTCATCTGGCTAGCGTCCTGTCAGCGTGTGAGAGAATTGAGGGCTGTTTAGAAACTGAAAGAGTATTTGCTGTGTGAGCAAGGAGGAGACAGCAAGGAGCCTGGGCGTGGCTTAGCTCAATTGTTCTGTACTAAAGCTGCTTGGTGCTGCTGTGAAACTGAAAGTCCCCTTCTCTGCTGGTGTTTTGCATTTGGAACAGATTTCTTTCTGGGGGGGGGGGGTAGAACTCCTTAGCATCAGAGTGTGTTAATAATAATAATATAGGAAATACTAAATGCTCTGATGGTCATTTGGAAAAATCCTTTCTTCGTGAGCACTTAGAAGCCAAGACGAAAATACGTGCCCAATTTCAAGTTTGTAGGCTTTACGGTTCTGGAGATTTTGTGATGTGTGAGTAGTATTTCACTTTTTTATACATACATACATACATACGTATTATTCTATTCTATTTTCCATTATTCTATTCTATTTCTCTGTGTGTATGTATATATGTGTGTGGGTGGGTGTCTATATATATATATATATATATGTATGTATGTATATATATATATGTATGTATGTATGTATGTATGTATGTATGTATGAATAGATATATATAAGTATGTATATGTATATTATTCTATTATATTTTCCATTATTCTATTCTATTCTAATTTCTAATTCCCTCTCTGATGGATATGTGTGTGTGTGTGTGTGTGTATATTATTCTATTCTATTTTCCATTATTCTATTCTATTCTTTTCTAATTCTCTTCTCTACCTCTACTCTACTCCATTCCACCCTTTATTCCTCTATTCTGTACTGTCTCATCCTGTCCCATCCTACTCTATTCTGACAGACCAGCAACCATGAATCAGAAACCTCATATCTGAAATGACCAAGTCCCCCATGCCTGCGACCATCGGTATTTTCCTCCACTTTTCTCGCGAAAGGCTAACCTTTCCATGACTTCTGCAAGCTGCATTTTGGCGAGGAACTGGTTGTCTCTGCGGATCTCGCGCACGGCCCCTTTCAGTTCCCGCCGGTGCTTGTGGACGAGGCGCTGCCGTTCCTGCTCTTGCTTACTGCTCCCTTGCTTCCGTCCGAATTCCAGCCTGAGAGGAGAAAAAGCGGCTTGTCAAAATGGCGGCGCTTCCAACTCCGCTCGGGGAGGACGGGGCCACTTCCGCTGCATAGTAATTTCCAGATGAAGTGGACCTCTTGATTCGACTCCGTAGTTTTTAGGGGGAAAAGCATACGAGATGAGATACTTTTCCAGAGTATCTTAAGCTTTCGTTGCTTTTCATCTCTGAAAGTTGCACTATTTAAGTAAATTAGAGACAGAGAATTTCAGTCTTTGGATTATTATTTTTTAAAAATAAAATTGACCATAGTATTCAATGGAGTGGTGGGGTGGCCTAGAGGTGGAGCTCTCACCTCAGGAGTCTTGTGAGTTCGATCTTAGGTAGAAGCAGAAATTTCTCTCTCTGGGCACGATGACAATATATCTGATAGAAAAAACTCAGCACTGGTGATAGGAAGGGCATCCGGCCATTAAAACACTCTGCTAATTCAATTCACTTGCCCAGACTCCACTCCACAAGGGATTATGGGGTCAATAAAAGAAGATGATGATGATGATTGAATTTAAAACGGCAGATATTTCTCTCTTTGGGCACAATGAGGATATTATCTTCCGAACTCCCCTCTGGCAACAGGAAAGGCATCCAGCCATTAAAACACTCTGCTTGCTCCATTCATTTGCCCAGACTCCATCCCGCAAGGGATTATAGGGTCATCAAAAGAGGAGGGCGATGACTACAGTATTCAACGTACAACTTTGATGGTTCGAATAAATTTTCAGCAGCAGGAGGAGACACTGGATTACCGTCGATCCGTTTCTCCCTTGCATTAATCTGGATTTCAGCAGCCCCAAATCAGGACATTAAAAAAAAAAAAAACTGTCAGCCGAACTGGGCTTTTTAAATTTAAATTTTAAACATTAAATGTTACACACACTGTTTATTTCAGCGGGAGGGATCTGCTTCGAGATACTCACACCTTCACTATTTTCGGAGTGTACAGCTTCAAAGGGACTGGTTTCCTCTTGTCACAGACCAACGGGCGATATGTCCCAGGGACATCGAGTTTCTCCAGGACGCTCTGATGTAACTCCTAAATATCCCAAGAGATTTAAAAGGAGAAGCAGTCATGGAAAGATTTCATGCTGAATAAACAGGGAGTAGGGTGGAAAGGATATTGAGGTTGTTGTTTTTCCCCCCAGAGTATAGGTAATCCTCAACTTTCATTTAGTGACCGTTGGAAGTGACAATGAAAAATGTGACTTAGTGTTGTTCGCTGGCAGCCGGTGCAGATGGCAGCGGAATTGGACAGTGGGGAAGAACGGAGACCAGTCCAGGAGTCTGGAGAGGAATTGGACAAAGGTCCTGCATCTGATGCAGAGACGGGGCCAGGACCATCTGGGAGTGGGGTGCTGCCTCCGGAGCATCCAGAATCTCGCAGCAGCGAGGCAGAGGACCCAGGGGAGCCTGTTCCCAGTGCGTGTGCGCGCAGAGCTGCTGGAAGGCAAGAGCAGTTGAAACAAAAGGGGCGACTCAGGAGTAAGGCTTGGAGGTGATTGCCCCTCCCATAAGGTATAAAGGACAGGCAAAGGTAGAGAAACCTTTGCAGGAAGCAAAGTCGTTTGCTCTGTTTTGATAAAACCTGGAAGCTCTGTGTGGACTTTATACTTCGGTTAGTTTTTTACAGTTCATTTGGCACTTTAGTTATTGGCAGCAATTCAAAGGAGAGAAAGGTGGGTGCTTATATCGATGGAGGCATTAAAGGAACTTTATTCTGTTTTTGTGACTTAGTTATTTTTGTGTCACGCCCTGGGTCATCACAGACTGCAACTGAATGATTGTAATTCGAGGACTACCTGGATTCGTTGTTTCTGGTGGCTACTTTCTCTGAAGGGGGACAGGAATTCTCGGCTATTTCTCAGGGACCCAACCCCCTCCTTACCTGAAGCTGTGCGGGATACTTGGTGGCCTGAAGCACGAGCGAGGAAAGCAGCAACCGGACAGGCCCCACGATTTCACGGAAGGATGGAAGCTCCCCATAAAGAACGGCACAGCGTTGAACCAGAGCCAGAGCCAGAGCCACGCATGACAATCTGCAAAAAACAAGCAGGCAGAGGTGTGGTTGGCACAGTTGGTCTGAAGGCTGACTCTGCCCACTGCCAGCAGTTCGATCCTGACCAGCTCAAGTTCGACTCAGCCTTCCGTCCTTCCGACGTCCATAAAATGAGGACCCAGATTGTTGGGGGCAAATAGGTTGTAAATTATTTAGAGAGGGCAGTAAAGCGAAGTAGTATATAAGTGTTATTACTATTGCCCTTCCTTCCTTCGTCTCTCTCCTTCCTTTTCATTTCCTTCCTTCCTTCCTCTGTCTCTCTCTTCCTTTTCATTTCCTTCCTTCCTTCCTCTGTCTCTCTCCTTCCTTTTCATTTCCTTCCTTCCTTCCTTCATCTCTCTCCTTCCTTTTCATTTCCTTCCTTCTTCTGTGTCTCTCCTTCCTTTTCATTTCCTTCCTTCCACCTCTCTTCCTTTTCATTTCCTTCCTTCCTTCTTCTCTCTCCTTCCTTTTCATTTCCTTCCTTCTGTCTCCTTTTCATTTCCTTCCTTCCTTGTCTCTCTCCTTCCTTTTCATTTACTTCCTTCCTTCCTTCTCTCTCCTTCCTTTTCATTTACTTCATTCCTT